ATACGTTTCAAAGACTTCAACATTTTATAGTAACATTTCCCAAGAGCAATTTAATATTCCTTATGCCATATATATTAAAATTATTTCAAGTTCTTCCCTAAAGAAAAACAGAATCAAATTTGCTTTACAAAATAATGGAAAGACCTGAATGGGCAATTGAAATTAAGCCAGAAGTCAAACTGTACAGAACAGTGCACTTTAGCGTATGTGCAAAAGTAGTGGTTATGGCATCACTTGCATCTATTTAGCAAAACTTACAGATCATGTATTAGAGATAGAAGTAATCTTAGTTATCACTCACTGTATATCCTATATTTTAATACCTGTAAACAATGTGATGATTTTACATAGTATTACTGCTTTGATGGGAAACAAAAAGCTATAATCAAATCAATGTAGTAACATAATTGATATTTATAATAAAAGATATATGGTCATTTAATTCCCTCAAGTAAATAAAATTCCTCTAAAGCACATCCACAGAGACACATTGGAAACCAGAATGCCCATATTATGATCTAGTACATTTCAACTCCATCATAAGATGGAAGAGCCCTCTCATTTTTGAAACCTGCTACCTATGGCAGGAAAGTAATAGGACATATACAGGTTGTCCTTAACTTGTGCACTGCTCATGTATGAAGCTCATGTATATTGGAACCATGTCCTTGCTTTGCACATTTCCATGGTAACTGAGTACTGAGAGACAGAGAGGGAGAACTTTATTGTCTCCTCCCCTCTCTTGCATCTCAAATGGTCCCCCTCAGCAGTCGACCCTTTGCATCAGCCTACAGCATCCTAGGTCTTTCTTGTCTGGACAACTTCCATGCCTATCATCAGCTCCCAAAACCCTTCTCTGGTTATGCTACACCCATCAGGATTATTTCTGTTGACAAACATAAGGAAAGGACATATTACTTCTTCTTATTTATCATCCTCTTATTTTAAAAAACCTTTAGTAATTAAAACACAACATGTAGAAAAGAATATCTCTAATATATGTAAAGTATAAGAAATAACAATTTGACTTAAGAAACTAAACACTTCTTATATATTTGAAACCATCTACCAATTTGGTAATCTTTTTGGTTGTTTCTTCATTTTATAATATACTAAAAGCCTTGCAAAGTGGAAGTACCCTGGGAGTTCCCAGTTCTGAGAGGCTGTGCTTCAGGGTGCTATTATATACATCTAAGGGTAAATAAATATCATGATAAAAATGGCATTTTTTCTATTATGTGATAAAAGTTAGAGGTATATGCCCTATTTCACTATTAAGAGATAAACACTTCATCACTGTAAATGAGAATAAAACTTGCATTTTAAAGTCTTTCAAGGGAATCAGCTCTATTTCTTCCTGTCTCCATTCCCTCAGTAACATATTGAGTGTATGTGCACTCACAAGGAAGGAGCATTTCTGTGAATTTAATCAAATACAAAATTCAATGTTCCTTGCAGATAGATAATTTTGGGATGTTCCATTGGGAGAAATTTTCATATTTCTCGGGGAAAGACTCACATGTTCCAAATCCTCAGTGTTTCCTCTATTAGTGAAGAACATTATGGAAAAACTACTATATACAGAATCAAGGTATATGCAGCAAGACACTCTGCGGGAAATGTCATCATTAAAATGAAAGAAGGCAAAATGTGTGGGAATACAATCCAAAGGTGGCAAATAAAAACTAGCATATATAACACTGTAAAAAGCATTATACTAATTAATTGAATTTATGATTTAGCTAAAGTTAAAAAAAATTCTGAGATAGAAATTTTAAAAATATTCATAGCTCTTAATATATAACAGTAAATTCAGAAATGACAAATCTCACTTAAGAATAAAATCAGTGCTACTGCTTTTGATGATGATGGAAAACACATGTTCAATGCTTAATTAACTCTTTTGACATCTTTATGTTTTGTTCTTTAATGTTTTCCTAAATTTATAAAATAACTCGAATTCTTATTCTGGCTTTGGCTTTATATTTCATATCAGTGTTTCATCCTGTAAGATGCTGCTGCTGCTGCTGCTATTTGTTCTATATACATGTTAGTTTAGCCCTAAAGCCTAAAAAAGGCTATAGCTCTTTCTATCATTGATGCTTTTATCTGCACTTCTGCATCTGGGCAATTGCTCAACTCCAGTCACAAAGACCTGGTGCTTGTACTAGACTTAATACATGAATTTGGCAATGTAGCAGGATACAAAATTAACCCCAAGAAATCTGAGGCATTTCTATACACCAATAGTGAACTTTCAGAAAGAGAGATTA